AAGCTCAGGGGAAGAACTTCGCTGTTTTATCACTCTATTGCGATTACCAGGCGCAGGGGGGGACCAATCGGTAGTGAATATGATCGGAGGTCTACTCGGGCGGGTTGCTCTGGGAGCGCCGAGGATTCCCGTCGAAATTCAAAGTGCTCATGACGAGTCCAAGAAGAGATGTGGTCAAGGTCTCCGATTACCGAACGTGGTGAAATTATTCGTCAAAACAATCAATATCATTGAAACGGTTTACATCTGCTTCGACGCAGTGGACAAGGTACTGCGACAGGAGCGACCGGGGTTTCTTCGCACGTTGAGACAGATTCTCCAAGATGCGTGAAATGTGCGGCTATTTCTTACGGGGGGGCCGTATTTTTGGGGAGAACTTGTGGCCGACCGGGGAGATATTACTAGATACGTAAGCCAGAGGATGGACAATGACTATGGCCAAGATCCGGACTTGATGACGGAAAATCTTAAAGGTGATGTTATGAAAACAATTTTGGAAAGGCTTCAGAGATGTAAGTAGGGGCAACTCTGTTATGAATTCAGATTATTCGCTGACATTCCGCAAAGGTTTCTACTCGTTGCACTAAATATCGATGCCATCTTGGGCGAAACCTCATTAGCTAGATTAGCTAGGAGAAAGCGAATGTTGCAAAAGGTGGCAACGACCGGTGTGGATCTGGACAGTATGTATGCCCAAACACTGCAGCGAAGAAGAGAACAAAAGGGCGACCGATCGAGACTTGGGATGGAGGTGCTTATGTGGGTCTCCCACTCGGAGCAACCGTTGCGGATTAATGAACTCTGCCATGCTCTGGCAGCAGATATGGAGTCGACTGATCTGGATCCCAACAACGCCCGGCCACTGGATACAGTCCTCGCATCGTGCTTAGGGCTGTCCGTGGTCGACAATGAGACTTTGACAGTCCGACTAACCGACTAACCGACTAACCGACTAACCCATTATACGCTTTAGGAATACCTCTCCGGACCTGGTGTCCTACCTGGAGCTCACAAAGCGCTCGCAGAGTCGTGTTTGACCTTTCTCAATTATGAGAAAATCAAGGGACATCCAGCCGATGAAGTTTTGAATCTTAGACGCATACCATTTCTTGAGTATTCTTCCCTCTATTGGGGATTCCACGCAAAAATGGAACTCTCAGATCGCGCGAAAACACTTGCACTGGAGTTATTAAACCACGACGATGGCCATGCAGCTGCTACGTTGCTTCCCAGGCAAATACGCCCTTATTACCCTTTCTCGGATTCCAACAGCCTATTTACCGGTTTGCACTACGCATCCTGTCTTGGGGTCGCCGAAGTTGTAGCCGCTATAATAGAGATGGAAGGATGTGGTATTAATCAACAAGACTGGAAGGGGTTTACACCACTCGTGTGGGCTGCTCGGCGTGGTAATGAAACAGTAGTGCGACTACTGCTATCGCAGGAAGATATTGATACCGTCAGACCGGGCTGCTGTGGTCAAACTCCACTCGGACACGCTTCCGAGTATGGGCATGAGGGGATTGTAGGGCTGCTGCTCTCGCGGAACGATGTCGAGCCCGACCATCCAAACTACTATGGCCGAACACCACTCGAGTTTGCTTCTAAGGGTGGGCATGAGGGGGCGGTGCGACTACTGCTCGCACAGAACGATGTCAATCCCGACGAGCCAGACAGCGGTGGCCAAAGACCACTCTGGCGTGCTTCCATGTATGGGGAAGAGAGAGGGTGGTGCAAGAGAGGGTGGTGGGACTACTGCTCACTCGGAACGATGTCAATCCCGACAAGCTAGACACTTGTGGTCATGCACCACTCCTGATCGCTTCTAAATATGGGCTTAAGGAAATTGTAGTGCTCCTGCAGCCCCGGACAACCGCAATATCTAGCGTGGATTAAGCTTAAACAGAGATTCCCCTCTACCCCCTCTTTTCCCACACATGTCTGCATAGCTTTTGCAATTGTTTCCCTATACATAACCTCTATCAGAACTCCTCCCATACCCCTTTCAACGCCTTTACATGCATCGGACAATTTATTCACCACCTCCCTGACGCTCTCTCCTATTTTCTACCTCTTTTCAGATTTCCCTCAACTGTGATGTTTGATGTCATCCTTGGTCTGCGTCTGCCGCTGAGAGGCGCTTCCTTTGTGCTATATTGGTATTTCGGGGGGTTTTTTTTTGGGTCTTTTATGCTCATCTGTGTATGGCTGAGTGTGGTGTTGATGCTCTTAGGATGCTTAGGATCACGGGTTATGGCGTTTCTGTTTCCAATATGTGTTTCCCACACGTATAAATCCCCTTCTGATATTATTGTACTTTATTTTCTTCCATCACTTGCAATTGAATTCCAACCTCTCATGCCCCCAACCAGCCAAGGCCGACCCCTGTGGATTCGCTCCGGGGTTTCTTCCATTACTGAGCTAGACCCGCCCAAGCCCGTTGTGCCCGTACGGAAATCTTGTGAAAAGAGTTGGGAATTTTATTTCCAGATTTGCTGTTCCCTTCAATCCCTATGGTATTGCATGGAGAAAATATTATGGATGGAGAGACACCTACGGATCAAGGCACTGACTTTGTACAATATATTGGGGATGTGTGACCGCTAACCTCAAACTCCCCTTCCGGACATGGACCATTCCTGGATGGTGGGGCGTTACGGGGTTAGGTGGTATGGCTGTGTCCTTCCTTAACTTGGGCGAATTCACATTGTTTATCCCATGATAAATCCCAGCACGCATTGTAGTACAGTACTGTACCGGTTGTCCCCCCCCCCAAAAAAAAATGGAAAAGAGGAAAAAAATCGTCTAAGGCTAGATCCCTGTTCGTCCTAGTATGATATCTCTATGATATCGATCCGTCCGCACTTCAACATTCCCCGATTGCCGGAGACCGCGAAGCGCACCCCCCTCGTGATCATACCAGGCAGTGTCCGGGGCAAGAACCAGTCAGCTGGCGTTCGTCCCGTTTACTCATTTCATTGGTTTACTTTTCTTTTTCGACATGTGTCGCGAGCGATGGGATATGAAACTCGGTAAAAGATGCTTTTTTTTTTTTTTTTTTGATATCCACTCTGTCCTCGAGTATGAGACCACCTCGGTACTGGTATGAGGATTTGGCAAATTTCGATGGAGGGTAGTGATGGGGGGAGCGGTGGAGAGAATGAAGAGATATGTGTGATCATTCTGGGGGAGGCGAGAGGCGAGGTGGATGGATTAAGAAGGATGCAGCAATCTGGGGAGGGATTGTTGGGATCAATGAATCCAAAGGAGGAAGGACCCCTCCCGTCTGTACCGCTTTCTTAATGCGTACCATAGATAGAATAAAGAGGCCACCATTGTTATGGCCTTTTCTTTTCACGGGGACGCTTCTTCAGGGAGGGTCTTTCACCGACAATTGGGCTTCATATGCTGTAGTGGTGCGATGCGTTGGACGTATGTAGTGATCTAATGGCAAAATTAATGAGGTTCCGAGTCGGGTTAGTTTTGCCGGAGCGTGGGCAAAACCCACTAGCCCGGCCGCTCTGAATGGTGCGGTGCTAGGGTTGGCCGACTGTGGGGGTTCGGGTCCCGCAGTGGATTATGATATCATATCGTGCCGCAACAGGTCTTGAAACCCGCTGCGGGAGTATACTCGAATACCATACCGGTATTGTACGAAGTGGGCCACTCCAAGAAGGGCGCTAATCAAAACGGGATCCTTACGAAGCCCACTAAGGGCCTGTTTGGCAGCGACCGTTCCGTTCCGTTCGCCCATACAAATTGCCTTATGGTTCCGTTCGCGAACGGCCATTTTGTATGTGCGAAGGGAACGGAACGGTCGTTGCCAAATAGGCCCTAAACCATTTCGCCTAGCATCATATCTATACCATTTGGGCCTACCGATTGATGATACCTTAGACCTAAACCCTAGTTTATATATATCCGAGTACCTTAGTGAGCAAAGCTAGGTATCATAATTATGCGCTAAATGTGGCCCACTCTTTAAAGAGAATCCGGTTTTGGTATGAGGGTAGGGTTCTGGAAGAAATACTTACCGTATTGTAGCAATTGTAGTCACGCCAATGCATCAACACTCCTGCTCTTCGGAGCGCTGGGGGTGGGCCACTTTTTCAACGGACTATGGGATCAGGCGGAATCGGCCCATCAGCCCGCCATAGGGTTAGGTATAGTTTGGCACGACGGCTAACCATGGTTGGCGGACCGACCAATGACAGGCCCCAAAACCGCCATATCTAACAAGCGTTTTCATTGGCTAGTTCGCCAACCATGGTTTGCCGTTGTCGCCGAACAAACCCTTAGTTCGACGGGTTGGCAGAATTGCGAATACGAGCGGATGAGATCTAACACCTCCGGTGGGCTAACCTCCTACTGCGCACGGAAATCTTTTAGTCCCTCTCACGGCCCCTTTCTCGGAATCCGGGGATTGCAGTGCTGTTGTGGATAGCGGGGTTTGGGGATTTGTCTTTGTGTTTGTGTCGTGGCGGGGGTATTAGGTACGGATGATATCCTACCTTCCTGAGAGGGATGTTTAGCGACAATGCGCGCGCATGCTTACCAACTTGTTAATGACATCTTGCGCTCTTTACAGGGATGTCTATCTTTCGAAGCCATTATGATAAACGGTGCATTCCAAACCTGAGGGTTAGGAGCGGATTGACAGGCAGAAATCGTGGTTGTATACTACCCATAGCTCCAATGAGGTGAAATATTCACTCACCCGGCGTCCGCAGTTTATACCCAAGCCATCCAAGGAGTTGACCCAGGTCAAAAAGGCGCAGACACGATGCAAACCCGCCCAACGAACCATAACCTGGGGTAAACGAATGAACCAGTTGGATCCACTCGCGGCAGAAGCTAGGAGAGATATGGAGGTATTCTGTTGGGGATCGCCTCTTATTTGGGCACTTGATGGGGATGCGGACAAATGTGATTATAGTGGCTTAATTGATGATCCATGAATGGGTAGAAAAGCATGATCTCGTTCATACCCTTTGTATGTACTACGCCTTAAGCCCGTGCCTGATCTTCTCCCACTGCCTCTTGAACCCCCCGGCTGGCTGTGAGATCCGCATCGTGGTTTTTGATTTTGATGATTGCCCCTCATGGATAGAACAAGCAGGTGTTACGCAAGTTCCAGAGTTTGGTCCCGTGAGACTACATGCCCCTTTGGGATTATCCTGTGCAGTGGCGGTAATAAGCGAGCCTATGGTTCTGGGATAAGAAAGACTTTGGAAGCACTGTATGGCGACAAATTAGAAAACGAGCGGGCTCTTTTAAACCAGCACATATAGAGTAGAAGCTGCTGCAGCAGACATAGAAGAACATAACCTGGACACCGGATACAAACATCTACCTCCCACGCTCTTCTTCGGCCGGCACTTCCTTCCACTTCAATGAAACCTCCGACCTCTTCAGAAGCGTCATGAACGCAGCCAGCGCAGCCCGTTCGTTAACAGGAAAGTCGGTGGCTCGTATAGTAATGGGGGCGCCTTCCTTACCGTGGACGTGCTTCGATAATTCGTCGTATAGGTTGTGGGCACAAGTGGTAATTTCATCGGGCTTAAGCTTACGGGCTTTTGCTTCTGCTTGCAGAAGTCGGATAAATTCGGGCTTGTGAGCTAGCTCGCTAAGGCCGCACTGCATCCCCCGATATTCTTTAAGCTTTTTAATACAGACAGCATGCCGGACAGTGCGTTCTAAACTGGAAGGTTAGTGCTGAGTCAATATGTAAGAATCGGGGTTGTATACCTATGGCCCCGCGGATGTTAATTATTCTGCTAATCTTCGTCCTCGAAGCACTCCTAGCACAATCACCGGTCTATGTAGAGGTTAGATCCATGCCAGATATCAAGGAGGTCGGACATACAATAGGGCTTTCAGGTGGATCCTTCTGCTGGCCGCCCTGATTGTCTTGATTGATAAGCTGGTCCTGGTAGCGCTGAACAAGGTTTGCGTAAGAACCAAGATATTGAATATAGGTCATTTTATCTTGGACATCAGAGTCCTCCTTTGAGCGACCTTGCTGATCATGGGTATCTCCCTGGTACTGCCGAATTTTCTCCCCCCCACTGAAACTTCGCATTGACTTGGTTTGTAGCATCTTTCGACCAGAACCCAGTGGAGTACCAACCTGATGGGAACAGGGGCGGAGTCTGGATGCAATGAGAGAAAGTGGCTTGGAGAAAGGGTGCATTATGGACGACTTTCTGGCTGTGACAATTGAGTGACTAGTGGGGGGGGTGGTGGGTGATGGAGGTGTTGTGGTACACAAACCATGCACCCTTTTGTGTAGGGTTGACCGAGCAGTCACGTGTCTGGTAACCTCGGCTGGAGTTAGTTGGTCCAGAGCTGGCAAAGCCTTCAGGTGGGATGGGCCGCGTGGGGTTAATATAAGCTCTCCGTTCGATTCGATCGTGTTTGTTGAGCTGGGTTCCTGATTCACACTGCATCGGGTTCGATATATCAATTCGAACTAATGACACGATATTGACTGAACCGGTATTTGCATCCTGCGGAATCACGGCCACGTAGTAAGCGAGCTATACACACCCACGCATATCCTCTAGACCCTCTGGCGTGGGCACAGCTACACATTCTGTAACCAGGGCTCACTACCACCACAGGCGAAACCGTAGGACAGTAAAGCAAAAACGCTTCCAGCCACAGCAAAAGCCGAGAATCGTGACCAGAGCACTTCAATCCTAAAGCCAAAACAGTTCAATTTAAAGGTTGGGACGCAGCTTCGCAAGCTCAAACAAAATCCCAATCTCGCTTCCACAGACAAACTGATTCCGAAACCTTCCAGTATACTTGAAACCCACTCGACAGGAACGATCCATCCACCAAACTAAGAACAAATCCTGCATCGCCGTATCCTGGTTCCTCCGACATTTATAGACCAAGCAGGCAAGGTTCCCCTAGCAGAATCCTCCTCCATTCAATACGGTGCCGCCCCAATCTCATATTCTCCACCTCCTACAAAGACACAAGCCCCGAAGCTTGACAGAACCGGAACTACGAGGAGGGGAGTGTGGGATGGGTTTGGGATCTCTGCCACTTCGTTTGGCCTCAAAAAACAAGCAGTCATCGCAATGGTCCGGTGGCCCGGGAGGCCCTATGGGGAGACTGCCAAGAAGACGGGACGGGACGGGACTACAAGAATAGTCCTTCTAGTCCGGAAAATATTGGGGACCGCAGGTTTTGGCAAAGACTACCGGTCCTACATTGTGAGACATAAGTTTGCTATCCTGGTATAGGGACTGCAGGTGACGGCAAAGGACTGCGAACTTTTACTGGTGGACGGTTGGGATCTGTGGGGATCTGTGGGCATTTGTACACATCACGGACAACCTGCATACCATCTCAAATCAGAGGTTTACGCAGGCTGGGACTGTGGGAGACTAATGAGTGAGACTTTATAGCAATTCGTTGTACAAGTATGAAAATCTTTCTCTTGACTGAGGGAACTAACTTGCAAGTATAATGATACTACAATTATATTCATAGAGAAGAAACTCAGAGAGAGGATAATAGCAAGCCTGGTATACTCAATATTGCAAAGCCTATTCTCTTGTATTACAATAACTGCATGCAGGTTCTTGTACCTTAACAAAGAATATATAAGTTAAACAAAAAAGAAAAAAATCCTTAGCTTTCAGAATCATCAGCGAACTGAGAAGAGATCTTATCAATATATTCGTTATACTTTGATACCTACTTTTATTGCGAGCTTTCTTGACCACTCTCCAAGGAACCTTATTGGCCCCAGTTACAATTTACCTAACTTAGAATTGACTGCTGCCTAACAGAATCATGCGGTGTGTTGGACGCGTCCTCAGTGCCCAGCGAACTGACTATTTTTCCTAGCGCTGAAATTCCATTGGAGAGGTGAAGGGATTTGAACATGATAACCACCATCTAGCAGAGGACCCATGGGCTCCATTCGTGTACACATACGATTTCAAACTTGCATCTTGGTTTATTCACAGCAAAGTCCCCAAGTCGTGTATTAATGAGTTCTTTTCAAGTGGCCTTGATAATTTGGCATCCATTGGCTACCATTCAATGCATACACTCCAGAACCACCTCCGTATACTGGATCCATATGGGCCGTATCTGATATGGTATGAAGAGAAAGTAGATGATGGCATGAGAACGTTACCTTTCTTTCACCGTAACCTTCTAGACTGTGTCTGATATCTTCTTCGTCAGATGACCTATAGAGAAGATCTTATTTATGCACCGCAATGTGAATACGATTACAATGGACACAGAGTATATGCTGAAATGCATACCGCAGACTGGTGGTAGAAAGTTCAAGTACTATACTAATTTCTTATCAACTCAGCTTGTGACTAAAGATCTGGCTAACCTATGACAGGAAACCCTTCCACATGGTGCCACGGTTGTTCCAATTATCAGGATGTCCGATCAGACCTATCTTACCAACTTCTCCGGTGACAAGAAGGCCTGGCCAGTGTACATTATGATAGGAAATCTTGCATCAACTAGCCGTAACAGGCCTGGATCGATGGCTATCCTCCTTCTTGTGCTCCTACTAGTCCTTTCTAAGTTGCTCCAGTCGGCTTCAGCAAACAGATCCCAGAGAGAAATCAATGCGGACATGCTTAAAGGCGTATTCGAACTCTTATTGGAGTCCTTGCAAGATGCTACACGCGATGGTGTCCCAATTGAGTGTGCAGATGGGAACGTCTGGAGGTGCTTCCCGATATTGGCTGCGTGGATTGTGGACCACATGGAAAACATCACCCTTCATGGAATACAATCCAACGCCTGTCCTAAATGTGAGGTTCGTTGACACCAGCTAGGTGTCAATGTGAATACGGCATATCAGGCCTGAGATTATGTGACACACGAGGAACTCGAGCAGCAACTTCGTGACCAGTCGAAGATGTCCGATTCGCACGTGACGCACCCCACACTCGACGCTCTGGGTATCAAGATTGGACAGAACATTTTCCACAGGCTCCGACAGGTGTCTGCACCTGACTTGCACCAGCCCGATCTCCTTCATACAATTTACCTGAGACTGTTTAAGCACATGATAGATTGGATTTAACGATTTCTCGAGAAACATTGGTGACTACAAGCATTTGATAATACTTGGAAGTCTTTGCCACCATACCCAGAGTTCTTTGTTTCCAAGAAAGCTTACGGTAAGGTTACGCAGTGGCAAGGAAAAAAGATGAGGAATTTGGAGCGATGTCTTTTAGCAGTTTTAGCTGTGGCGTTGAGACTGCTGGACAGTGTGCAACAGTGACCTTTCAAACGTGCACTTGCTTGCATCAGGTCATTACTCGATTTCAGTTTGATGGCGTAATATAAAAGTCATACAGCAGAGACTATAGGTTATATGAAATAATATCTCGACAGATTTTACGCCACAAAGAATATCTTCTTAGAATTTCAAATGTCGAAATAGATACAAGTTGAACTTAAGGATCAGGTCCGGGGAATACGGCATCAGCAAGCCCAGTTAAATGAATCTCACCCTAGGTTGAGGGTACGGAAAATACGCGAGCAGCATCATGGATAGGAAGACGACTAATGAATAGAATTGATTCAGTCAAAATGTCAGTTCAACTTCATCAAGATGCATCTGCTATCTCACTTCCATGATCACATATACCAGTTTGGAAATATTCCTATGTATTCAACTAAATTTGGAGAGCTGGTGCATAAGGATCAGATTAAGGACAGATGGCGACGATCGAATAAAAACATTGCCTCCAGGCAGATTCTGAGCAGCTATAGCTGACAACATTGGCAAAAATTTCACTTTGCGTCCCGTGCGTCCTGTGCATCTGACGCATGGGACGCCCAAATGCAAACCGTTAATCTGTACGCGACGTCTGCGGGACGTCGCGTCCAGATTTGCCTTCCCCTTGCGCAACCCGTCCTGACCCCACTGGACGTGGATGCCGACGTCCCCTGTGTCCGGAGATTCCACGCTCTCTTCTCCTCCCGTCCGGAGATTCCACCCTTCCCTCTCCTTGCGTCAGGAGATTCTCCGCTTTCTTCTCCTTGCGTCCTGACTATCCCTGTGACCCTTTGCTACTTCCTGCTATCGTCTGATTCTGCTCCGTCCCATCTGACTTTGCCCACTCCCTGGCCTTTGACGTCCCAACCCTACCCGTCACTGGCAGCATTAATCCTGATATTTTAAACGACTTCTCTTAACTCTCGACGTGACAACCGGGCGCTCAAAGATCTGGATTATCTCCCGTCCAAACTGGTGGTCTCGATCTCTACTAGTACGCTCTGGAGACTTTTGCGCCAACGTCCCTTGCGCCCAGATCTTTCAACTTATGTACCGTTTGCGTCCCCTGGCGCTGGTTTCTTGGTCAGATTCTCCCGCTACCAATCAATCATGATCCGGACCTTCATGGCTCCTGGTTCTCGCTACCCGATATTTCATGTCACAATACATGGTGGATGTTTCCTCCTCATCCGTACCTAACAGACTTATTTGCCTAATCTCGTGGGATTCCCTCTATTTGACCCTGACGCTTTATGTACAATATTATGCCGTCGCGGTGAAATCCCGACTACGTCCCCATCCCCTCATGCACACTGGCTCCTACTGTGTCTCCGCGTAGTACCTCTTCCGATCGTGATTGCTCCAATCCTCCTTCACCCATAACCTAGTATCGACCTCACGAATTCTGCCCCCGCCTCTCCTCCATGATAAGCAACTACAATGGGCCGCCCGGTCCGGTGGGATCCCTTTCGGCCGCTACTCCGTGTTCCTCAAGTGACTACTCAAGACTAAGCGATAGCTGTGAGGCCGGAGGAGGGCTGCTAACAATCTCCGTCGGTCGACATGTAATGTCCTGGAGGGATCCACCGATTGGATCAGAATCAAGCAACGCCAGCGCCAGGGCAGCCGACGTCTGACCGAAACTTGTGGTGACATCGGTGTCCTGCGACTCATTTCGTCTGCCCTGTGGCCTCACTGGGACGAGCATGAGTGAATCAGGCACAGTGTCGCTGCGCCAGGGGGGGGGGTGGTCGCGATTCCAGGTTCGACTTCTGGCTCTCTAATTCGGCACTGACCGCGTCCCAGTCGTCGTCATAGCCTTCTTGTCGGTCTTGGTGGACACCGCGTTTTTGCATGATCTTGTTGGTAATCGTTTGATGAATACTCTCAAGAATACTCTTCTTGATTCCCTGGGGACATTTCTGCCATGTCTCCGTCTGCCTAG